TCAGCTCTTATGACATTTGGTTGTGGAAATGCATTCCATTCCGAAAGATGTTCAACGAGAGCCTCTACTCGTTTTGCGGATACCCGTAACCACGACCCCAACCCTTCGGCTTTCGCTATTCTTCTCGGAATCTCTTTTGACTAGTCTCATCTTCATGCTTTGGCTGTCTTCCTTCCCGATGACCATGTCGCTGAGTTTCCTGGTCATCACATCCCACCAGTGAAGTGTATCAAATGCTGCAAACGCATCCTCATGCCTGATTGTCCGGTATGCGCATCTCACCGTTTGTCAGTGGATGCGTAGTGTGGAAGGCATGTTAAATGCTCATGCATGTATTTTCAATTATATAAAAGTTCGTGTCTTTGTGAATGCTCATTAGATTTTCCGAGTGGATGCTGATGGGTTAGAAGTAAGATCCACTGGCCTCGGTAGAGAATTTTGGAAGCTAGCCCAATGACTGATATGTTTCTACGAGTCTTAGGAAGTGAGAACTATATCACCACATAGTTTGTTTTACGTGGGACGGAGGTTCAGCGTGGTCGACCTCTCCAAATAAGCCGTGTTTGGAACCGCCGCTCCAGTCTGTTTACCTGTCTATGCCTGCTGATAGGTCTGCCTGCCGGACGTGCACGGTACATTAACTTGCAGTTAATAGAAGCGACCAGAAGTTTCATGGAAGTTGGTTTCAGTGAGTCCAAGATGCGTCGTAGGAACCAAACGTGCTCAAGGATTTCTCGTATCATGGAAAATCGTAGTAATCCAATCCATACGCGGGAACCATGCAAACCCTATTGATGTAGATGGTATTTCGGAACCATACACATATTCATTGTTTATTTTATCTTCGTTGTGTAGATCTTTACAAGCTAATTAAAACACTTCCGAATTCCGTTCCACGAAGGTACCCATTACGTATTCTTTTTGAGTTCTTTATTGTATTGCCAATATGTTTTGGCCAGAAAACGGTGGATTCACAGAAACAAATGCGACTGTTTCTTTTTGATGTGTAACCCTCGGTATCGATCACCTGTGAGGTTAGTCATTAGTTCGCCTCGTGCACGTTTGAGACTTGCGCTTCCTCAGCCGATTATTTACCGTCGTTCACTCCCCGCGTACAGGTTGTGAAGTTCTTCGAGTACTTTTGAAAACCAGTCCCAGCCTACTGACGACTCCAAACAGACATGGACAACGACCGACAGAACTGTTGCAAACGTTATTCGATAGTGCGAATGAGGAGGAACGGAAAGAAGGTGATAAGGTAAAAGCTTCTACTTTGTTGATGGTATCATTGGTCACAATTGTCAGAGCACCGCAGATGAGATGGTGCCTCATATCTTGTGACGTTTTTTTAAACGGTTATTTGGTTTTCAGAGAACACATGCTGCACCTCGACAAAGTATGATCCAAGACATCCAGTTTACTACTTTCATGTCAAAACTTGGCATCCTGAAAAGTATGATAAACCAGCGGAATATCCCTTTCTTAAGCCAGAGAAGTACACCAATTCTGTGGATCTCTTCATAGATCTCCTGTATTTATGTTGCGATTCACTTGAAAAAGCGAACTGGGCAGTAGAGAGTTACTTTTTCCCAAGTTCTTGATATAATTGCAGGTGATCCGTTGTTATATTTTTGGCTCGTCTATTACATGCGCCAGGACTTCTGATTCAGTATGTCCTCACATATATTTGAAACGCCCTGATGCATACACCCGGATTAACAGTCCGAACTGTTACACAAACCCAGATGAGACGTTTCATCACCAATCGAGGTGACATCATCAGTGCGTTATTGGGGAGCGTAGTTGTGTGTAGCGGTGGGCTAGTGGTTGTGCGTTGAGTGGTGTTACGTGTGTGTTAATATACGTGCCGGTAGCTGGGGCTGACCTTTGATCGCGATTAATTGTTCGATCGGGCGGTTCCATTGGTTATCCTGTGTTCTCATTCGCCGACGCCCACGTGACCTTTGAGCTTGGCATCCCCTGCCTTTGTAATCTGGTCGATGCTGGAGTGACCTTTGTCCTTCCGAGTCCCGGCTTGTGACCTTTATTGACTTGACTCCAAAGCGTTCCTTGTTTCTTTGTTGGGAATCCAATATTCGTTCCTCCTTGAGTGTTCCGGTTGAGATGTTGGTCTTTTGCGCGTAGAGGTGCGTAACTTGGATCCAGTTGGATGCACCGGTTAATCGAACCTGCCGTGGAGTACCATGCTTCCAGAAATTCTCTTCCGTATCTCATGTCTCCATATATACCGAGAAGCACTGTGCAGCTGTTTCATACTTACTGGGAATCATTGGTAGTACGCGTCTCACGAAGCTCCAGAGAATTTTAAACCCGCAGTTTCCTGGCTAGTAGCTTGAACACTTACTAGTCGGGGGCAACTGATCAGCATTGTAAGTAACTCGCACTTGGTCGAACTAACTGTGGCTGTTGGTATCACTAACCTGAACCAAATCCAGTTTGGTACTTCTCTTGTTCTGGCGTGATTGCTATGCATGCCAAAGCTAGGAACTAACTTTGTTGTCTTCCGACAAGTTGAATATAAAACGAAATTGTTTCTACAGATAACTCATTCATTTGGTACGGTATTCTAGTTACCGCAATATATTTTCGTAAAGGAAACTATTCGCAAGGCGCAGTCCCTGAGTTTCCCTCAACCTAGGACTCCACTTGCTGAGGTGGTTTTGCACAGCAAATTCAGTTGAAGAATACCACCAATCGGAGATTCATTTCAGCCCCTTGCCAATACTAATGCAGTTAGCAAGTTATGCTTATATTTGGTCAGATGCGTACAATTTAGTGTTCAATTAGAACATAAGGTTGACGAAACCTCTATGCCCCATGAAGGATGAAACCTGTAGTGGGCTGTGGAAGAGTTTTTATATGCATTCCGGTAACACTATTATGATGAAATCAAACGCAATATTACCTGTCAAGGATTCAAATGGTACATGTGAAAGCGCTGTGTCGGACTTTCTCGATGAATAAATTTCTGAAGTTCTCTTTTGAGAGTATAGTCATCTCTTTATGTGAAACCAGGTGCAACAAATATGCCAAAGACCAACTGTTAGACGTTTCGTTTGTCTGTGACTATGGACCCGAATCTTGCCAAGAGAAGTCTAAGGACGTGGTCTTGTTGGCTGTGTGTGTGGCAAGTGGCAAACCCTACTTTCTTACTTCGCTATCTGTAGATTAATTCACTTAAGCTGCGTATTTCTTCCGAAGACAGAGTAGAGAGAATTTTAGTGTTATTCTCGTACAGTAAATTTAATAAAACTGTTTCTATGAATAATGCCTAATTGTACCGTATGAGTTGTGACGATGGTCTTCCTATACACTTCGATTGATGTCTGCTGAGGATCAAGCATGAGTCTTCTGCTGTAGGTCTTCCAGCGTAAAATTTGATCATGTCTACCGTCGTATAGTGCTCACTGTGTTCATCATTGCTACCGACCGAAATCGGGCTGCCTTTGAAAATGCTCTCTTCTGCTTGCACAAACTTCAAGCCCCGTGTTTGCAACACTTTTATGTTCAGCTGAGGTAGAGATTAGCTAACATGAGGGGAAATTCATCAAATAATTTTCTACTGAGTAATCGGAAACCAACACAGATAATGTCTCCATTGAGAACGAGTAACAGAAGCATAGTAAAACGTTTCTATCACTGGTCGGTTCGCGCTTGGGAGGACGTTGGTGGTTTGTCAGATGAAGTGGATGATACTTGCGTCTGGCAAGCACTTGAGGAATAAACCAGTGGAAAATGCGGAACGCTTTCGCCTGGCGAATTGACTGCTATTCACTTTTCAGCCATGTGGTATGGTTCATTCCCTTGTCTCAGAAGTGATGTGCCGTTGTTGGGCATGCGGAGTCATCAGATTTTGGTCTATAACACCAATCGTCCATAGCCCATATTCCCTAAGACTGAACACAAGCTTCCCTTCGATATTCTCGTACGGCTGCAATTACTATGCGCCCTAATGTTCATGAATGTCACGATTTTCATAAAGGAAACTACTCACAAAGTTGCTGAAAACTCTTGGACAGCCCACGACCGGTTACGCCCTTTTTGGGGCTCATCAGGTAGGCGCAGTCCCCGAGTTTGCGTCAACCTTATGTTCTACTTGAATCCGAATTGGACTGTTTTCGAGAAATACACTCATTTGCAAATCAACTTGGTTTTCACGAGAGACTCAACTGAATCCCTGGGGTGGCCTGTGTGCAGCACATTCACTTGTAGAATATCGTAAACGAGAGATTCAGTTGAGTCTCTCGTGAAAACCAAATTGATTTGCGAATGAGTGTATTTCTCGAAAGTCACGATTTCTTTAAACACCTCCGACTGGGATGGAGTCTCAAGCTTTTAGAGACAAACTGGTCACTGTGGGAAAGCTGTTTAATTTTTCAACCGGCGTCTCATTCAAAGAAAGTCTTCATCAGGGTTGGATGTACTTTTTTGTAAACGCGGTTGCACAATGGAAGCTTATATTGATCTAGTAGCATTCGTGATATTGCCGGTGTCCAAATCAGTTGTTTTCGAATAGATATTCGTTGTTTTCTTCTCTCACTTCGAAGGAGCACCCTCTTTGGGAGCAGTAGTGTAGTTCCCCGTCGATGGTGATGTGGATACGTTTAGAATTGTTAATGGCATTCCGGGATTTCAATGGAAAGACCTCGGTCTACGATACTTTTGTGCGGGATATTGTATCTGACTTCCTTGTTTGTACTGCATCTCTCGAACGTCCTAAACATTTCGTGAATAATTTTCGATCACTATGTAAAACAAGAAAAACAACCTTCGCTCTTACTACATCTGCCCCATAGAAAAACCTGGTCTCACCTAGTACTTTCAAGAAAATATCACTGTCGTCTATGATGTCACATATCTGAACTCCCAATTCACACGGGATTCATTAACTCATTTGCTACACAGGCCACGTAGATTTGCGCCTGCTGCTCAAAGTTCCGTCTTGCTTGCTCTGAGTACATGCTATATTACTTAATGTCACACTTCACTATACCATACTATGCTGCCATATTCTACCATACTCTTCTACTGTGCCACACCTTGCAAGAGGTCTGGTACATTATGGCATTATGATAACTATCTCGGCTGGTGAGCTGTCATGATCGTTCTCCTTTGTCAACCACCTGTCTTTTGGAATAAGTGCCAGCTGTGACATATTCATTGTAGTGTTCATCAGTGTGCTTGCCATTTACGCAGGTTTTGTTCTCATTTCTAGATCCTCATGTCAGAAATGGCAACCGAATCCACCAGCAGTCGATATTTGACCAACCCTCAGGCAGATGAGTCTACTTCCTTCTGCAGGACAGCTGAGTGTGCTTTCTTCGATGAAGATGAGTCATATGAGGGCTTCACCCACACGGAACCATCTTATGCTTGGGAGGACTATTTCTCCGGTGTGTGTATCATCATTCATCAGCTTGAGTTATCAAATCCTCTTGGTTTTTCAATTGTTCTCCAGCATTGTCTATATATGCTTTATTTGTCTCATTTCAGGATTCAGTGACCAGCCGTGGAAATCACACTTGGACACAATTAGGGAAGAGTTCGAACTACGAAACAGGTCTTCAGTTCCTCGCGATAACGCAACGCGCAAGAACGCGCCAACACCTGAACCTTCAACAGACGAACAACGGGCCTCGTTTTTCCGACGCCATGAGGCCGCCATATCCCGAAAGAGGGCAAGTCAAGCGGAAATTACATTGGAACAATTCCAAGAGAAATGGAATCAATTTACTCTGTTAGATACACAGATAGCTTCGATTGCCGAAATACCATGGCCTCCTTTTTGCGACAAGATTGAGCGGACGAATCAGAGGTCATCTGCGGAGCTGCGAATTGATGCTGTGTTGAAGTTTGTGGGTGATTCGGTTCAATCTCTCAGGCGATTACAGGTTGACTGGCATCCTGATCGATTCTCATCTCGATTTGGCGCTCGTCTTAAAGCTGAACTCAAGCAAGAGGTTGGCAAAAAGGTGGTTGCAATATCCCAACTTCTCAATACAGCCATGGATACTCTGCGCAAAAGACAGAGCTAAGCCCCCAGACTTCAATCATCAAATCTAAGTTTTTATCTTATTTTATATGTAGCGGTGTACGATCTATGAAACTTTGTGAATCTGACGATTTCCTCTATTGTAATTGGGGTAACATGGTATACTATTAACTTATTTGAACCACCCAGGTACCAGTGAACCTGGCATCATCCGTTGGGAACCAGAATACCCATGTTGTCAGAGGCTATTATTAACGCTAAACTGAGTCTTTCGTCATTCAGAATGCACAGACGGTAAGCCACTGGATATCGAAGACTGAATATTCAAAAGGCAACAGTCAAATTGTCATTGACTTAGAATTGCACTCAAATCCATTACTCCACTCTGGCGGCATAGCCTAGACAGTATCGTCATGTAGCGAAGAGTCTTATCGCTGGATCAACTGTTTCCTGCGACCATTCGTACGGTCTAAAGTATGGACGAACTTCCTGCTCTCGTTCGTTGGTTGACCTATTCCGATTATTCGTCGGACTTGTCTCTGGGTCCTGATGTTTGTCGAAACAAACTGGACTGTTGCCTAGCCGCTCTGCTGCTGCACTGAAGCTCGCGACTATCATGATAAACCCTTGCGGCAGACTTCGACTCCAAGTTAACTGATGGATAATCATGGGCCCTTCAGTTCCCTGGGTTTGCAATAGGCGGCGCCTATCCACACATTTGAAGCATCCTCCTCTTGGGAGCTTTCCCACTACGGTCATTTGACGGATCAACAAATGAAGCTTTGGCGTTTGATAACTCACTTGACTACAGGCTGTGTAGTTTGAATTCCCTCTGCAGTATTACAAACAAACACATAAATCTTGGTATTATTTCTAATAAGCCCATATTTTTCTGTGCTGGAACGATCGTTGATAGTACATTTGAAAGATGTGCACAAATGTGAAAAGGTGGCTTTGGCATTCTGCGAATAGACACAATAGGGGCACGGTGTGATCTCCGTCAAAACACCCATGTGAGCTTGAGTATCGCCGTCATATGCATAGGCGGTTGAACGACCCGTGCGGGTACTTGTTAGGTAGCGCAATAGGTCTGAAGACTGCCCCAGAACCTTAATGTCTACTATGTTGTAGGCGTGCACCGTTTTTTCCTCAGCTCGAGTGGGAGTGACCAATAAAAGGCAGTCCTACTCACTCTGTTCCTGCTCTTGCTCTCGCCAATACATTTTCCTCCAATGGGCATACATCGTCAGATGGGCAGCTGCCACTTATCTACTCCAATGCGTTATCGCTTCCCGGTGAGACGTTCAAAATCGCGTATGACACCATTAACAAAAGGAGTCGGCTGTTTAGCTGATCACCACCTGTCCGAACGGAGTTTAAAATCTAGCTCCGCCAATGACACTGCGACAAGTGTGACAGCGAACGCGTCAGGATTGTCGTAAGACGTCTCTTTAATATGAAAATCCGGCTGTTGCAACGGCATCAACTTGCCTCCGCGCTGACAGACTTTACGCAATCTAGTCCCCTGGCAGAAGTGTAGTGTGGCTTGAATCACTGGATCTCGAAGATAGCAGTCATCTATGTCAAGCAATTGCGATCAAAACGCTCCCACCACTGTGACAACAACCTGATTATAAAACGAAGTGTTTACAGAATCTCACTCCCATTCAGACAAGGAGGCCATGAGACAGCATCTAAATAACGCTTGAAGTGACCTGGCTCTGCAACTCCTTTGCACTAAGGGCAGATGGTGTAGGAAAGGAAGTGTCGAGGCTGTAGAGTCCGATGCTCAGTGGCAGCACAAGTTTTTCTACAATTCTTTGCAGCCGTGGGTTTAGTACACAAACGGTCCAATTTCCCCGAACGCTCACACGAGAATGTAGTGGGTGTCAGCTTCGTACGTGTCGTATATATTATGGCCCGAACCGACTGACGAACGTCCATCGGACCATGGTGGACAGTTTACCCTGAAGGAGACTAAAACACTCTGAGTTTTGCCCAACTATCGAATTGACAGAGCAGATAAGAATACCACTGAGATTTTGCGAGATATACGAGCGAGACGGGCTTGCAAAGAAACTATCCAAGCATAACGGTCCAACCCCATAAAACAGTTTTTCAAATGAACAGAATGATCGTGAGAAAGGAATTTCCACCAGGGTTCAGTGGTGTCCCAATGGTGCCACTCTACAAATGGAACTGGAGCAAGAATACACCTCGCTACTACAGATGAAGCAGCATACTGATGGTTGCAGACAAGTTCCTGTCTTGAGTATCTCTCGACGGCTTAATGGCTAAATTGATCGAAATATACACCTCTCGGGTCACAAACAAATGGATCTGATATCTGCTGTACAGCAGCTACAAAAACACCCAGGGAACAGTTCTAGATGCCCGTGTCTTCCGAAAATTCAGGATGGTATTCGCCATCCTCATCTCAGAAGCATTTTGGATAGTACTGAGGAATTGGGAATGAAAATGCAAACGAATGGACAGGCCTCAAATGATTTCGAAGTCTTCACTGACGTATAACTGGTCTGTGACCTTGCATCCGCCCTCTTTAGTATGATCCAACTGCCGTCGTGGATGTGACTTGTGATGACGGTACCGACGTTCACTACAAGTGTTGGAGCATCTGTTCACTATTATACGTTTTGGTGGGAGGAGACCAGTCCACTTTATAGCGTTACATACCATTGTTTCTGACCTGAGATTTTGTTGGCCTCTGGAAGTCGCTCATTTATCAAATTACCTACATCATCAAGTCGTGGTATAGCATATTAGACATTCTACCTATGAAGTGGTAATCTCAACAGCACTGAACTTTTCCGAACTTCCCTTCACTTCGCAGGATATCGACCGGCCATCTCATTCCTGTTTGCCAGAGGGAATCGAAAACCCAAACAACCGAGAAGTAGGTCATGAATTTTTGGATACTGTGACTGTCGACAATAATGTTCTTGAAAACCCTCATGGTCTGAGCTCAAATACCGTCAACTGTCCGAATGTGCCAACTTCCGCAGTGTTTGAATGTACCCAGCTAAACAAAGAAAATATTTCGACGGCGCGTCACACGCGGATCGAATTTAGCTGAACAAATGCCAATTCAGCGAAGATTTTAATTTGTTTGACTTTGGAGTCCATAGCCGTTGATAATCCAAAGTGTAAGTGGCTTTCAAATGAACAAGTGGATGCAGTGACTCTATCTTAAAGGTTTTTGCGTTTCACAAGAAAGAAAAGGGACTTACATGAACCAAATATCCGTTAGAAGCCTCAGGGCCAACGGTCCTTGAGATTTTTCATCTAACTCGAGTGATAATGAGAAAGGTAGGTCGAACATATGGCTTACTCAACATTGAGTTGTCCTTCCAGCGGAAGCAAATATTCTTGGGGTGGATTTCTCAATGTTTTGTGGATGATAGAGATTTGTGTATAGCCATCAGAAAACACAGGAACGCACAGTATAGTGTCGGGTTATGAATCTTCTCTTCCTACCACGGCGGCTAAGTCCAGTGTGCCGTTGTCTTTTGAAAACCCCACGGTCGCTGCCTACTACCTGCTCCAGATACTGATGTGAAGCATATTCAGTATTGTTGTCTTGTTGCTTGCGCTTGAATATGGGGTGCCAGACAGGTGAACACCCCCAAGCTTCGGTGTACGAGTATCGCATCATTCCAGAACTGAGACGCAGGTCCATGTATCAGGGTGCACATATGAATTCCGTGGTGTTCCGATGCGGAGATCCGTCATAAATAGATGGAACCCTCTTGCTGCGTGACGGTTTGCCAGCTTTGGAGCACGTTCATTTCAGCCTTTGCAGACTCTTGTCTCCAGGGTTTGTCGGTAGAAAAAAGCCTGAAAACGCGCTCTTCTGACCTGCGCATTCAGTCGCTCAGGGAGTGGCATCTTGAACCAACCATTCACAACCGCTGTCCAAACCTTTTTTCCCGTAAAATTTCAAACAAGTTGGCCGACAAACTGCTCATTTGCGCACTGTTAATCCCCTACTTATAAATTTTCGCTCCACTACCAAAACCCGGACGCAGGATTCCAAGACTCTAGCTAGTATTTTGGCAAATTCATCCCTCAGACAAATGACTACAAACAGTGGCTAATTCCACGAAGTGGAATGCGGGCTTTGAAATGGCACTTTGTGCAAAAGTGACGGCTCGTCTGCCTAACTGCCTATTATTAAATATGAAGTTTAAGAAGCCCGATTTTCCACCTTCACAAGGGCTGACATCGGTCAGAGAAATAGTCGATTCTTACTTGTGGTTTTTATTTATGCACCCAACAATTAAAGATCATACGGATTACGCGGACTTATGGATCAGGCTAATCAGTGACGATCGTTTCTACATCGTGAGGCTCTCATCACTTTTGAAACAACTGAATAAAGTGCGCGATGATGCAGGTAGTTTACTCCTTACGAAATTATTTACTACGGATCAACCAAATACTGTGCTGTTCAACAGTAAAAGAGTTTTTATTCTGTACATAAGTTCGAAATCCTTTTTAAAGGATCGGTTGGTGGATACTATGGGCAGCGCGTGCGAGTCTAACGTCGTGTGATGAACATGACTGATACTCTATTCGTCGCTCTATTCATTATTCTCTTGTTTTAATATTCCATATGCTGTACATATTCGCCAATTCGAATACATACGTGCTGGTTGTTACGCTTCGCTGAATCCTGGATTTCTAGTTCGTCTGGTTATACCGATATACGCACGAGACTTAATTCTCAAACGTCGAATACCTCCGGAAGCCTTCGAAAGATGGCGAGAGATGCCTAGCAATAAAGTTAGGGTCAAATTAGTTTACATCTTTCGTCCTTAAATGGACACCTGCTGGGACTGCGAATATCCCGCTACAATCTACATGCATATGCTCAGAATCCTCCCCATGTGTGTCACGCAATATCACTTGCCCGACGGGTTTGACTGGAAAAGAATCAGTTGCAGCAGACCCAGGCGAATGTATTAAGGACGAAACATATTTTTAGAAGATGTGTTTTAAACAAGCTGGTTGGTAGCAAAAAACGTAGCGCACAGAGAAATTTTGACTGGAAAGCGATAAGGTAAAGGAACATGAACAAATGTTCAAAGTCCGAGCTCCCTTAGTCCATCGATGGGGAAAACGTGCT